AACCGATCAGTCACAGGCTAACCAGGAGGTCCGAGTACCCCTCCAGCAAACAGTAAAGAACCCTCAGGCATACGAAAATACTTTAAGGTGAGGAAAGAAGAGTATGGTACTACGAGGCGGAGTGTGCGGAGAGCTGGATTAAGACAGGAGGAGAAAGTAGTCAAAGTGTAAGGGATGGTATAGTTAGTAATCCGCTTAGCAAACCTACAGAAGGGCTCCACTATGCCCTTGATGATCACATTCCTGTGCCTCCCGAGGGCGATGCCAGTGTTCCCTTCGAGAATCTTTATGTTTTTGGAGTTTGATACAACTAGCTTGGTCACTCTGGCTAGTTCGGTGGCTTGGTTGGCTAGTGTGTCAATGACCACTTTCATTTGGCTGGTCAGGTCGTTCCTAAGGCTTACTGTGTCCAAGCTGTCAATGGTGGCCTTAACGCCTTTTCTTTTCACAACCGTGACATCCAGTAAGGAAATATTGAGTGCCTCTGGGAACTTTACTTCTGGGGCAGAGGTTTGTCCCGTCCCTGTCTGTGGAGTGCCACCAACCGGCTTAAGTGGTTCCAGTGCAGGAGTCATCGATTTCGGTGGGGTGCCGGGCCCCGCAGCCTTTCCCTTGGCCGCCTGTGTTGGAATATTAGCGCACACAGCACACCCATTTCAGGCATTTGTGCTCAGTGTAGAGGCTGTAGGTCTTGATATTGAGTTTGCTGCACTTACGGTGATATCATGTACCACAACAGTCACAGCAGATGCCCTCGCTTACGCTGACTAGGCAGTCAGTTATCCCACAGGGAAATACCCTGCCCTCAGTTTTAGGGCTAGCCTTAACGGCTGGAGAGCGTTTTTTCCTTGTAGCTCTAGTGGTCATTAGGAGCTAACCTACTGCGTCCGGGTGGTAAGAACGGAGGATTTTTATAGATTAAAGGAGCCTTAAGCTGGCGAACTGTGGCTTGGTGTTAAAAATATAATAGATCACATCTATATTAAATAGGTTTATTCTAAGCAAAAAGTAAGTAAAGTGGGGTAAATGAATATAAAAAGCATGAAGGGGAAATAACATGCACCGGTTAAAAACATTAACCGCAAGCCAAAGTTAACACGGACGCTGGACTCACCGTGTTTCCTCACAGAAAGCAGGCACTAACGCCTAGGCTCCCCTTAGTAGCACCCTGGGCTGACCCTTAGGCGAGCACCCGTCGGTTTCGTCTGGGCCCGGGTCCACCGTGGTCTAATTTCTGGACTTGAAAAGTGATTTCCTTGAGGATTTGCCCCACTCTCCGAAAATTGATACCGCGCGCGCAAGGTCGAGTCAATAGTAGTTTCTGAAAGGCAGAATGTTAGTATGTAGTATCAGATCCCTTATAGTATTTCGGAAAGTAAAGCCTAACGATTAACTTTCAACACTCAACTTCAGAAAATACCACTGCCCAGCATTCATCTAGCCTTCTCTTGAAAGATTCGACATTAATACAGTTAACCGTTGCTTCAGGCAGTTTAATTGCACAGCGGTATAACTCCGTTTGTGAAGAACCTAGCTCGCAAATTCAGTCTACAATGTCTTCTTTCCAATCTAAGTTGATGGCCCCTCGTGCCCCTGGCAGGAACAAACGAGAATATGTTTTGGAACTTTAGACGCGAAATCCATTTGACAATCTTAAATGTCTCTGTAAGGTCGCCTCGCATGTGTCTGCGGGCCAGGGAGACCAGGTCCAGGTCTCGCAGTCGTTGGAGGTATCCCTTATCTTTCTGTCCTGCTACCATTCTAGTTGCTAAGCGCTGTACTTTCTCAAGACAGCGTTCGTCCTGTTTAAAATAAGGCGCCCATACCTGTACGCAGTATTCTAAATGTGGACGCACTATGGTTTTGTACAACGGTACAAAAACCTTGGGTCTTCTGTAACTTAATACAGCGCACAACCTGAAAAGTTCGTGTCGGACTGTATTATCCGCTCGCTTACACTGTAGGGATGGCCAGAAATCGTTTGTGATCATTACCCTTAGATCCTTTGCCTCAGAGACATGCTGCAAATGCATCACAACTCTCGTGTCATCACTGGCTCTTTTGGTCAAGAGCTGACACTTACCTAGATTCAGTGGCAGATCCNCCACTTATCCGACCACCTTCGGACTGCATTTCGATCCTGCTCCAGTCCTTCCCCAGCTAACTTCACATCATCGGCGAACATGATGCAAGGATTTGGGAGATCCTTTGCAAGGTCGTTAATGAAGATCAAAAGTAATAACGGACTCAACACCGATCCCTGTTGGACACCACTCGATACTATATCGGGTTCGGTTGTATAATTTTCAACTCTCACACTGAATGTGCGACAGCTGAGAAATTTTCTAATCCATTCTCTTGCTTTGCCTAGGATCCCCACTGTCTGCACTTTTAGATCCAGAAGCCGAAGACTGACTGAGTCGAAAGCTTTGCTGAAATTTAGGTAGCAAACCTCTACTTGGCGACCTGCGTCTATTCTTTTTGTGACTTCGTCTAGAAATGCCAGCAGGTTAATGAGGCACGACTTTTTTCCACAAATCCATGCTGAGCTTCAGTCAGAAGCCCATGGGTCATCAGATAAAAACATAATTATCCGTTCGAGACACTCGCATAGGACCGAGGTCAAACTTACCGGCCTGTAGTTGCAAACATGGTGTCTAGGGTCCGACTTGTGAATGGCCACTACGGTTGCAGTTTTCCAGTCCTCTGGAAGCATGCAAGTACCGATGGATTACCAAAATAACTTAGTGACCGGTCCCGTTAATACATTTGCTGGAGGCTGGATCACGGCAGGGTGCAATCCATCCGGTCCTGCTGCTTTATGTCTCTTCCATTTCCACCGGAGTTCCGCAGGGTTCCGTCCTTGGCCCCCTCCTCTTCCTTTTATATATTATTGACATGCCACACAGGATCGGAGTCAACGTAGCAATGTACGCCGATGATGTGACAATTTGGAGCACCGATCCTGTGGCTGTTCAGTCAGCAATGGATGCAGTCAAAGACTGGTCTACTGTCTGGAACCTACAAATAAATGACGACAAATGCGTTAGTATGTCGTTTGGAAGGGTCTCTGTACATAGCTTCAGGGCTAACGCTTTCATGACTATGGACAGGGTAGAACGCCACAAGGTCCTTGGTTTATGGCTTACCAGGTCACTCTCGTTCTCCTACCACAACAAAAGGCCAGTAGATCCGCCTTCCGTGTTCTTAACATCCTAAAACGCTCATTTCCCAGAATAGATAGAGATGACTTTCGGCTTCTATATAGCACCTTTATCCGACCCTTGTTGGAATACGGGAGTTAAACTCCTCACTCCCGCTTGGCGAGCCACTGTACGGCCCTCGAGCGTGTACAACGGAGTGCGAAAAAACTTATGCATGGATTGTCCTCCATCCCTTATCCTTCAGGCCTTTCCATCTTGAACCTGTACCCCCTTGAAACCCGCCAGATAAGAGGTGACATCTTCCTATTGTACAGTCTCTTCAATTTTGGCAGGGTTGGTGACTTCTTTGTGCGCACTAGTATGGACAATCTTCGTGATCATAGCATGAAACCCTTCAAACCGCTTGCCCGTACACTAGCCC